TTATTTTCTATCTCTTTAAGATAAATACCGACAAAAACAATTTTTTTTCGTAAAATGGACATAAGTTTGATTGAAAATGTGTTCTATTTAAAAAATGAACAGTTTTATAATTTTGTTAATGCATTAGTTGAACAACAACTTGCTGATATATAAAAGTTTCAATCGATTTCCTCCACACAGTCTCTTATTCGAAACCCGAATATCTTCGAGATCTTCAAAATGAATTGTTCTGAACCTGAATTCCTCGAAATAAGACAAAGATCATGTTTTCAAATTAATGATGGAAATTTCGTTGTGAAGATTGGGTTATTAAGTAATTTAAATTTTCTATTAGATTTCTTGAAACAAAAGCAACAAAAATTAGCTATGAAAAATGATTCTTTAGAAGCAGATTCTATTTATCCTGGTTTACCATATGAATTTGTCAACAAGCATCCGTTATTAAAAATTTTTATTGATTGGTATCTATCAGTTGATCAAGCTGGTACATATTATGATGATAAGTATGAATTTTTAAAAGATTTTATTAATACTATTATTCATAATATGATTAAACCAAGTAATCATTATTGATACAATGATTCTATTAAAAATTTTGCTTTATCATTATATATTTTCGAGGGAAAGTTAACTTATGAGTTCGTAAGATTAAATTTACCCGAATGTTTACCAAATACAACTATGTTAAATACGTTAATCTCAAGTTCAAATTTAAAGATATCAAATATTAATGGTCAAGAATCTTTTTCTTTGTAGATGCTGATCCAAAATATTTACGCGCTATGCGTTTGGTTAGTGGATTCTTTGGTTCTATCCCTAATTTTCAAATTCATGAACATCCACAAGCTTTTAAAATACAAATAAAATCACAATGGCCTTGGTTTTATTTACGTAAAGAACAACTTTTGTTGTTTCTTCAAGATGCCACGCATTTAGTCACTAAATGGCGAAATCGTTTATTATCCTCGACAGCTGAATTACGTATTGGTAGTAAAAGTATATCAGTCGACCACTTATATGATATTATTAGTAATCCAGCATTTACTAAATTCGAGTTTTGTTTAACAAAATCCGACATTAACCCTAAAGATCGCCAAAATTTTAGCTCGTGTCTGAAATTAACATTTGATGATAATCTTCAAATTTTAAGCGGGAATGTAAACACTCGAGACACTTTTATTTATCTTCGAATGTTAAAAATGGTCATTGTAGCTTATATTGAAAAAAGAACAACAATTACTGAACGTAAGTATTCTGATTAATTATATTTATTCGTAGATCATAGATACATTTCCAATTAACGAGATATTCTCATCCAGTAAAATTGTGATTCTACGGCTACAATCTGCTTGGCCTATATGTCCGTAGAACTTAATGCACATAACCTATTATTTTTAATTTCATTTGTAAAACAGAAACAGTTACCACCACATGCATTAAATATTGATGTTTTTAACTCACAAGCTTGTAAATCTATATTTAGAAATACAAGTGCATTAAGCGGAATTTACTCAACTGTCGTTAATTTTACTGTACATGGTTTTTTACAAAGAGCTCAAAAATTATCATTGCTCAATGATATTAAATATAAGCAATTGCATGATCCATCAGTTGACAAATTAATCTTTTCTGTTCATTATAAGCATCGAAATGATCGGCAATCATTATCCACACAATGTCAGAATGAAATCGATCAATTAGATGTTGAACAGGTCATAGCTGATACACATGATGAAGCTGTTGATATATTTGATGACTTAGAAGTGTTAGACTTACTACAACAACAACATGTTCTGGATTTAAAGCCATTAAGTGAATATGTATTCGGGCACTTAAATGTAAATTCTAAGATGTACAACTATTCATCTCAAGTAGATATTGTTGACAATGAAGAGTTTGAATTAGCTACAGATGATGATGACGAAGTAATAAACGATATCTACAATGATGATTATAATTGTGACGATTCGTGTTCGGATAATGATCATTCTGATAATGATGAACAAGATGTTACCACCGAATTCATCACTACGACGAAGAAAGACTTTTCTGGAATAAAAGTCGGTGATACAATAAAACCTGTCATCCAAAATAGTTATTTTAAAGTTTCAATCAACAACCAAACAAAATATTTGCACAAACAATCTGCTTGTTGGTTACTAACAGATGAAAAAAGTAGACTTTCAAGTGATAGATTACTGCGGGTGATGCAGAATAAGAAGAAAGAATAAATTTTTTATTTATATGATATTTTGTTTGTTTTTCTTTTCCAATAAATGATAAGTTGCTTTATCAAAAGTTGTAAA